GGTAATCAAAGTGAGCTTATAGAAAAAAAGCTGAATAAATATTAATCGCCTCACACTGTTTGCAAATAACCACTATTTTCTACATATGAGTTAAAATTCATTTATTTGCTCTTCACATTACTTTGTTCTATTAATAATATTACAGAATGATTTAAAACCCTTTCAGAATTCAGAAAACAACATTCTGTTAGACAGGATCATTTACACCCTGTTGATCAGAGTAACTGGAATAAAATTCTCACAGAGATGAGCTGTGTTTACTACAGTTTTAGTTCCCCCAGATTTAAAGGTCTCATCTTCAGGGAGATCTGCTAGATTTAGATCATAGTTTTGGCCATAGTTTTCTACAGTTTTGTCATAATAAAAATCTGTTTCATTTTTTCTGCTTGTGTCATTGTCATGCAGCGTCAACCTTAAATGTTAGCCTGAAATCAATACTGACCTTTTTTACCCTGTTAGGTAAAATAATATTACCCAATAATATAATTAATCTCCTCTTCTTTCACCTCCTTCACATAGAGGGAAAATAATCAACTCTCTTGCCAATGTTTCACTCACAAATACACTGTCGTTCCAACATTTGGAATCAATTAACAATAATTTTTTGTAATGTTACATAAGCAAATTATCAATGTTTTAGACATTTATATGCAACTACATTGGTTTAGTATTATTAAACACACTTATTACACAGTCTTCACTGAAGCTGCAGTGTTTATCTGTCTGAGATGGTGCAGATTCCATACCAGACACTGATGGACTGGTCAGTCTTCACTGAAGCTGCAGTGTTTATCTTTCTGAGATGGAGCAGATTCCATACCTGACAGTGATGGACTGGTCAGTCTTCACTGAAGCTGCAGTGTTTATCTGTCTGAGATGGAGCAGATTCCATACCAAACAGTGATGGACTGGTCAGTCTTCACTGAAGCTGCAGTGTTTATCTGTCTGAGATGGAGCAGATTCCATACCTGACAGTGATGGACTGGTCAGTCTTCACTGAAGCTGCAGTGTTTATCTGTCTGAGATGGAGCAGTTTCCTTACCAGACAGTGATGGACTGGTCAGTCTTCACTGAAGCTGCAGTGTTTATCTGTCTGAGATGGAGCAGTTTCCTTACCAGACAGTGATGGACTGGTCAGTCTTCACTGAAGCTGCAGTGTTTATCTGTCTGAGATGGAGCAGATTCCATACCAGTCAGTGATGGACTGGTCAGTCTTCACTGAAGCTGCAGTGTTTATCTGTCTGAGATGGAGCAGTTTCCTTACCAGTCAGTGATGGACTGGTCAGTCTTCACTGAAGCTGCAGTGTTTATCTGTCTGAGATGGAGCAGTTTCCATTCCAGACAGTGATGGACTGGTCAGTCTTCACTGAAGCTGCAGTGTTTATCTGTCTGAGATGGAGCAGTTTCCATACCAGACACTGATGGACTGGTCAGTCTTCACTGAAGCTGCAGTGTTTATCTGTCTGAAATGGAGCAGTTTCCATTCCAGACAGTGATGGACTGGTCAGTCTTCACTGAAGCTGCAGTGTTTATCTGTCTGAGATGGAGCAGTTTCCATACCAGACAGTGATGGACTGGTCAGTCTTCACTGAAGCTGCAGTGTTTATCTGTCTGAGATGGAGCAGTTTCCATACCAGACAGTGACGGACTGGTCAGTCTTCACTGAAGCTGCAGTGTTTATCTGTCTGAGATGGAGCAGTTTCCATACCAGACAGTGATGGACTGGTCAGTCTTCACTGAAGCTGCAGTGTTTATCTGCCTGAGATGGAGCAGTTTCCATACCAGACAGTGATGGACTGGTCAGTCTCGACTGAAGCTGCAGTGTTTATCTGTCTCAGATGGAGCAGTTTCCGTAACAGACAGTGAAGGACTGGTCAGTCTCGACTGAAGCTGCAGTGTTTATCTGTCTCAGATGGAGCAGTTTCCATACCAGACAGTGAAGGACTGGTCAGTCTTCACTGAAGCTGCAGTGTTTATCTGTCTGAGATGGAGCAGGTTCCATACCAGACAGTGATGGACTGGTCAGTCTTCACTGAAGCTGCAGTGTTTATCTGTCTGAGATGGAGCAGGTTCCATAACAGACAGTGATGGACTGGTCAGTCTTCACTGAAGCTGCAGTGTTTATCTGTCTGAGATGGAGCAGGTTCCATAACAGACAGTGATGGACTGGTCAGTCTTCACTGAAGCTGCAGTGTTTATCTGTCTGAGATGGAGCAGATTCCATACCAGTCACTGATGGACTGGTCAGTCTTCACTGAAGCTGCAGTGTTTATCTGTCTGAGATGGAGCAGTTTCCATACCAGACAGTGACGGACTGGTCAGTCTTCACTGAAGCTGCAGTGTTTATCTGTCTGAGATGGAGCAGATTCCATACCAAACAGTGACGGACTGGTCAGTCTTCACTGAAGCTGCAGTGTTTATCTGTCTGAGATGGAGCAGTTTCCATACCAGACAGTGATGGACTGGTCAGTCTTCACTGAAGCTGCAGTGTTTATCTGTCTGAGATGGAGCAGTTTCCATACCAGACGGTGATGGACTGGTCAGTCTTCACTGTCCGCTGCAGTGTTTATCTGCCTGAGATGGAGCAGTTTCCATACCAGACAGTGATGGACTGGTCAGTCTTCACTGAAGCTGCAGTGTTTATCTGTCTGAGATGGAGCAGTTTCCATACCAGACAGTGACGGACTGGTCAGTCTTCACTGAAGCTGCAGTGTTTATCTGTCTGAGATGGAGCAGTTTCCATACCAGACAGTGATGGACTGGTCAGTCTTCACTGAAGCTGCAGTGTTTATCTGCCTGAGATGGAGCAGTTTCCATACCAGACAGTGATGGACTGGTCAGTCTCGACTGAAGCTGCAGTGTTTATCTGTCTCAGATGGAGCAGTTTCCGTAACAGACAGTGAAGGACTGGTCAGTCTCGACTGAAGCTGCAGTGTTTATCTGTCTCAGATGGAGCAGTTTCCGTAACAGACAGTGAAGGACTGGTCAGTCTTCACTGAAGCTGCAGTGTTTATCTGTCTGAGATGGAGCAGGTTCCATACCAGACAGTGATGGACTGGTCAGTCTTCACTGAAGCTGCAGTGTTTATCTGTCTGAGATGGAGCAGGTTCCATAACAGACAGTGATGGACTGGTCAGTCTTCACTGAAGCTGCAGTGTTTATCTGTCTGAGATGGAGCAGGTTCCATAACAGACAGTGATGGACTGGTCAGTCTTCACTAAAGCTGCAGTGTTTATTTGTCCGAGATGGAGCAGTTTCCATAACAGACAGTGATGGACTGGTCAGTCTTCACTACCCACTGTAGTGTTTATCTGTCTGAGATGGAGCAGTTTCCATTCCAGACAGTGATGGACTGGTCAGTCTTCACTGGAGCTGCAGTGTTTATCTGTCTCAGATGGAGCAGTTTCCAAACCAGACAGTGATGGACTGGTCAGTCTTCTCTGGAGCTGCAGTGTTTATCTGTCTGAGATGAAGCAGTTTCCTAAACAGACAGTGATGGACTGGTCAGTCTTCACTGAAGCTGCAGTGTTTATCTGTCTGAGATGGAGCAGTTTCCATACCAGTCACTGATGGACTGGTCAGTCTTCACTGAAGCTGCAGTGTTTATCTGTCTGAGATGAAGCAGTTTCCTTACCAGACAGTGATGGACTGGTCAGTCTTCACTGAAGCTGCAGTGTTTATCTGTCTGAGATGGAGCACTTTCCATTCCTGACAGTGATGGACTGGTCAGTCTTCACTGAAGCTGCAGTGTTTATCTGTCTGAGATGGAGCAGTTTCCATTCCTGACAGTGATGGACTGGTCAGTCTTCACTGAAGTGTTTATCTGTCTGAGATGGAGCAGTTTCCATACCAGTCAGTGATGGACTGGTCAGTCTTCACTGAAGTTGCAGTGTTTATCTGTCTGAGATCGAGCAGTTTCCATACCAGACAGTGATGGACTGGTCAGTCTTCACTGAAGTTGCAGTGTTTATCTGTCTGAGATGGAGCAGTTTCCATACCAGACAGTGATGGACTGGTCAGTCTTCACTGAAGTTGCAGTGTTTATCTGTCTGAGATGGAGCAGTTTCCATTCCAGACAGTGATGGACTGGTCAGTCTTCACTGAAGTTGCAGTGTTTATCTGTCTGAGATGGAGCAGTTTCCATACCAGTCAGTGATGGACTGGTCAGTCTTCACTGAAGTTGCAGTGTTTATCTGTCTGAGATCGAGCAGTTTCCATACCAGACAGTGATGGACTGGTCAGTCTTCACTGAAGTTGCAGTGTTTATCTGTCTGAGATGGAGCAGTTTTCCATACCAGACAGTGATGGACTGGTCAGTCTTCACTGAAGTTGCAGTGTTTATCTGTCTCAGATGGAGCAGTTTCCATTCCAGACAGTGCTGCTGCCGGTCAGGATACTGTCTGTGATGCTTCTGTAGAAGAGGTTGATGACGGGTGTTTACAGGCTGTCCCTCTTCAGTCTCCTGAGGAAGTAGAGGAGCTGTTGGGTCGTCTTCACTAAGGAGGAGGTGTTCAGGGATCAGCCTCAGCCTCAAACCAGTGTGAGACTCTTGGGAAAACTCTAGGTGGATTTGATGGATTATGATGTTCCCCACAGAAGCTATAAAACGTAAAATATTCAGCAGCAACACTCAGAAATTCATAATAAAGATAATCAAATAATAAAATACGTAATTTATTAGTTATTAAATGTTATTTCATATGACAAAGAAATATTCAGTTTAGTGCTGTAGCATAAATATAAATGTAGAAATCCTTGAAAAAGAATCTATAAAGTTCTAGATTCATTCTCTCCAGCACGACGTCTGACTTACCAAGTCTGCTCATCCTCTTTGTCACAAACACTCCAGTAACAATGATGACGAGGAGAAGAACAAGAACATTCATGACTGCCATTCTAGTATTGAACCTGTAATCTCCAGTAGTGGTGTCCACAGATCCTCCACCTGAAAAAGATTAGTGTAAGACTGAACTGCTGACCTTATCAGTGATGTGTTAAAGTTAAAATATACTGTAATGTTTATTTCTCTCACCTCTGTGATGAATCACATGTAGCACCATTTTCTCCTCCAGGCTGCTGTGCTGAATGATGCAGGTGTAGTCGTGTTTGTTCAGCTCCTCAGGTGAGACAGTCAGAACGCTCCTCTTCTGGAAGGTTCCATCCTGGTTGGGTAGCGTCTCTCTGAGCTCCACGTCCTCATGCAGATCCTCTCCATTCTTCTGCCAGGAGATCATCACTGCTTTGGGGAAGAAACCTGTAGCATGACACACCACTGGAGAAGAAGAGTCCTTCTGGAACAGAGACACCTCAGGAGGGACTGGAGGGAGAGAGAGAGAGAGAGAGAGAGAGAGAGAGAGAGAGAGAGAGTCAATATCCACTAAATTATTAACTGCATTACCAGTTTATTAAAATGATGTAACAAAGGTAAACACAAACGCGTCTCACTGCAGTGACAGTGTTGTTCATTCTGTTCATTATCACTGTATCTGCTGTATTATCTATCCATCATCTAAACCGCTTATCCTTCTGGGTCACGGTGGGGTGCTGGAGCCTATCCCAGCTGTCATTGGGCGGAAGGCAGGATACACCCTGGACAGGTCGCCAGTCCATCGCAGGGCAGACAGACAGACATACACATTCACACACGCATTCACACCTAGGGGCAATTTAGCACGTCCAATCAGCCTGACTGCATGTCTTTGGACTGTGGGAGGAAACCGGAGTACCCGGAGGAAACCCACGCAGACACGGGGAGAACAGGCAAACTCCACACAGAAATGACCCTGGTCACCCAGCCGGGAATCGAACCCAGGCCCTTCTTGCTGTGAGGCGACAGTGCTACCCACAGCGCTACCCAGTATCAGGTGAGTCAGTGCTGAGTGGATGGAAGTTTCTCCTCCATGTTCTGGTGAGTAATCAGTGGTTAAATGATCAGCAGGTTTTCAGTGATGAGGGTGAAACAGTGAGAGTGAACAGTTACAGTAACAGATCAGATCACTGTACCTTTCCTCTCCAGACTGGATCTGCTGTAACCCACATACTTCTGTAACCATGCAGTGCATTCATTCTGCAGGTAGGCTTTAACAAAAGCAGCTTCATCTTGACTCTCCCACCTCCTTTTGGTAATAACAGCTTTAGTGTTAACTGCAGTCCAGGTTTCAGTGTTCAGATCCAGACTGATGTAGCGGTTATTACAATTTTAATCTGATTATGAACATGATTATTATTGCTTAAACTTAAAGAAGAAATCAGAGTAACTTGGATTTGTTTAAAGTCTACAGACCAATGCAGGGGAGAGACAGACACTCGCACCGAGGATGCTTTAATTAAAAAGTAAACTTTATTGGCTAAATATGACACCACAATTGGATAACTTTATTAATAAACAAAAGAAAAGAAATAAACAAACAAATGAATGGCTCAGGTAACGTAACTTCATTCACAGTTTAAAATGGTATGAAAATGTGGCTTAGGGCGCTCTTTGGGAAAGCAACTCGAAACCTAAGGATAAGGTAAATGAGCTATAGGGAAACTTAACCTAAACTAATACATCTAAAAGAGGATTCTTATTGAATAAAATGGCGTCAAACCTTTTACTACATAAATGAAAGATAGCCAGCCTCACTTTGGCGTCGGGAAAACGGACTTCGAGTCCACCGAGATGGGTCGCTTGGGAATCGGCTGGAGCTCACGCCCTGGGCTTTCCTTCGCTGGCCCTGGAGTCTTGGTGGGGCTTCGTATAGGCGATGCACCGCAGTTGATGACCAGCTTCGGGCGTCTCGACTACTCGAGGATGAAGTAGGTCGGTAAAGTTAGGTTGATATTCGATATTCAGCGGATATTCGCGTTTCGCCCTCCTATCGCTCACAAACAACCTTTTAAAAATTCTGAAATAACATTTTCTAAATCGTGGTAAAACAGACAACAAACTACAATTATTATATTTCGTCAAAGTACCCGATCTTTCCTTTTCGCCGAGTACTTTTAATGAAAATAGCCGGAATCGCTGCAGTAGGCGCCGAAAACGGTAAGGGACCGTCGGTAAAGTGCGGGTACTAATTAAAAACGTAAAACATTCAAAGCCATGAGGAGCCTGTTGATGCTATTTATAAAGACTTTAAACCTACTGAAATAGAAAGATGGTGTGAAAATCAATAACTGAGACTAACAAGTATACATCTGAACAGATCTGACAAACATACTACAACCTTTAGATTGATAAAATTTGCCTTAGTTGAATTGCAGAGATTATTTTTATATGTAGTTAATTGCTACTGTGAGACATCCATAAGACATACACATCTAAAGTGACTTGAAGTGTACAGGTACCCATCTTGCAAAAATAATACAACCTTTAGTAAAATATGCCTCAACTGAATTTTAATGAAATTTTTATAGAAATAAATTCCTACTGTGTCACGTCCATATGACTTACAGATCTAAAATGACTTGTAGTGTAGAGAGACACGCCTAACAAACATACTACAACCTTTAGTTTGATAAAATACACTTCAAATGAATTTTAATGAATATTTTATAGAAATAAATGGCTATTGTGTCACATCCATAATACGTACAGATCTAAAATCACTTGTAGTGTAGAGAGACACGCCTGACAAACATACTACAACCTTTAGTTTGGTAAAATATGCCTCATCTGAATTTTAATGAATTTTTTATAGAAATAAATTGAAACTGTGATACAATTGTAGTGTACACTGATTTTCAGTGAACATGTCACAAACCTATTTCAACCTTTTGTTTACTAAATTTATTCTTTGATTGGATTTTAATTTCCTGCAATGGACTTGCGACCTGTCCAGGGTGTTTTCTGCCTTTCGCCAAATGACTGCTGGGATAGCCCCCCCTCCAACGACCCAGAAGGATAAACAGCTTAGAAAATGTGTGTGTGTGTGTGTATGTCAATTTTAATTATTCTTCTTAAAAATTTCTATTCACCTACTTGACATACTGAGCTAAAATCACTTTTAATTCATTAAGACACATCAACTAACCCTACTATATCTTTAGGTTTAAAAAGTACCTCTACATTTTATGGCCACCAGAGAATCACTTCCATCTTATATGGCTGCCCAACAGCTGCTTGTGACAATCTGAGCATAGTTCCAATCCTGATCTCACATACTTTAGAACAAACACTTGATCAGCGTCTTTAAGAGCATCTGAATACTAGAGTCAGGTGTGGTGGAACTACAACCCTGCTGGGTGGTAGTTTTTAGGTGTAGAGTTGAGTATTTTTGAGCACCTCATTTCCAAAAAAGTTGGGAAAAGAATTTCAAATTTCGGTTCATTGGACCACAGGACACTTTTCCACTTTCCCTCAGTCCATTTAAATGAGACTGGGCCCAGAGATGGTGACAGCATTTATGGTCCTGTTTATATACGGATTCTTCTTTGTGTTTTAGAGTTTTAACTTGCATTTGGATGGAGTGATGAACTGTTTTCACAGACAGTGGTTTTCAGAAGTGTTTCTGAGCTCATGCAGTGATTTCCACTACAGAATCATGTCTGTTTTTAATGCAGTGCCGTCTGAGGGCCCAAAGATTACACCAGCAAATACTGGTTTTTGGCCTTGTCCCTTACATACAGAGATTTCTTTTATCTTTTAATGACATTACGTACTGTAGATGATGAAAAGCAACAGTTCTTTGCTATTTTATGTTGAGAAACGTTCTTCTTGAATTGTTGCACTATTTGATGGTGCAGTCTTTCACAGAGTGGTGAACCCCTCCTCATCTTTACTTCTGAAAGACTCCGCCTCTCTGAGATGCTCTTTATACCCAATCATGTTACTGACCTGATGCCAATCAACCACCAGGTTTGTTTTTTTAACATTTCACAACTTTACCAGTCTTTTGTTGTCTCTGTCCCAACTTTTTTGAAACATGTTCAAAATGGGCAAATACTTTTCAAAAAACAATAACATTTCTCAGTTTCAACATTTGATATGTTATCTTTGTACTACTGTCAATTAAATATTGAGTTTAAATGATTTGCACATCATTGCATTTTGTTTTTATTTACATTTTGTACAGTGTCCCAACTATTTTGGAAATGGGGTTGGAAATCTTCAATCTATCAAGCTTCAGGCTTGTGAACTTTTTGGCGTCACTCCACTTTCCTGTTCCACCAGGGCTTCTAGTGTCCTGCTCAGCCAGCCTCCACCACTGACCAGCTCCTCAAGCCTGTCCAAACTGCCAATCCTGTGGTCCAGATTCACCCAATGTTTTGGGCTTTGGGAGCCTCACTTTATGTAGTGTACTCTTGTTTGGGACCGGCCCGCTCCGGCTCTGACTCCACTCACTTATTACCACACACACTTGTGGCCCATTTCTAAGACTGTATAACAAACAAACAGTATTGATTTAATGTTTTAGGCACTTGAGAAAAATGTATTTTAAAAGCTATTTAATTGGTCAGTAAGCAATTAAGAATGTTTTGAAAAACATAAATATTAGGATGAATACAAATTTCCAAACATTCCAAACCCTCTTGGGGTTTCTAGACCCTTGTGGACATCAAGTAATAATTGTAGTTTTCATCCACTAGCCGGTTTCGTTAATAAGTCTTTCATTAAATCAGGAGTGCTTGTTGTTGGATTTGAACCAATCGATGTCATGGCTCAGGACATTCAGGAGAATTTGGGAACTAAACTTTGCTGCTCTAACCAGCTCAGAATATCTCAGGTACTTTCAAAAACATGAGAAATGCTTATTACATTTTACTTTACTGACTGTAATGCTTGTTTGTATTCATTCGAAAGTTATATTTTTGTTTTTACAAGCCAAAATATGCTACAGCCAAGACAAATGGTTTTAAATGTAAAGACTTTGGTCTCTTGCCTTGCAAAGTGTTGCAGCTTTCTGAGTGCATTTCTTAACCATGTTCTTGTTCTGCAATATCTCTTGTTTTAACTGTTCTTCTGTTCTGTGGATTTTGATTGTAAATTTGCCTAGTTTGTGCCTGCTTGCCGATGTACTGACACCTTCCTCTGATGACTATGAGAGTCAGATTGTCCCTAATAAAGAGGGTCGGTGCAACACGTTGTTTCAACACGTAACGCAAACCTATAAAAAAAACTATGAATAAAGATTTTAATATTTTTAATTGTTTAATTTATAATAATTCTGACTATTCTGACAAACTGTTGACATACAGATCTACAGATCTACAGTCACCTTTAGTGTACTTACGCACATCTCATAAACCTTTGGTTTGGAAAACATGCAATATATAAAAGGAGTTTTAGGAGCATGTTATGCAAAGCTGCGCTGTGGGCATTTTAATTTTGGGCAGTACATTTTAACTTTGACATGTTTTGCAGTCCTACTAGAATATTCAATATACATGCACTAGAATTTTCCTGAAAAACCTTTCTCAAGCAAACTACAACCTTATAAGCATATTGTGGCAGAATTAGTTTTTTCTGGAAAAAATAATTTGTCGCACATGAACAACACACAGTAGTCTGAATGTCATTATTATTTCATGAATGAAGTGTTGCTGAGGCACATCCATGTGACAAAAAGTATATTCATCTTTAAAAAACTAAGAAATGAAACTGACAAACTGCCATCATTTCATTCAAAGATGCGCAGAATTAAAATAAATATATTCTGGGGTATGAATTGCTGAACAGCTGACTATAACTTACACAACACTAAACTAACAATACATTAAAAATTAAAATTATTTGCTGCAATGTTTCTATTTTAAAAAATACTTACTTCACAGTACATATATCTTCCTGAACTACTTTTTTTACACATCCGTTTCACACATTTCACATTGCCATGTTGTTTCCTCATCAGGAACAGCACCTGGTATCATTCCAAAGCAGTCTGCATGGAGCCGACTTTTACAAGTTCCACATCTTATATAAACAGCCAAACAGAAGGAAGTGTGTGATAACAGTACCAGCAACTTTTGAATTCAAACATTTTCAAATTTTAGCATAATAATAATTTTCTGAAAATCTCTTAAAAACAAAAATCAGTGAAACAATGCAGCAGCCACACCAGAAACCAACTATCAAGATCTCTATGTCATATGGATGTGACACAGTGGTAATTTATTTCTATAAAAAATTCATTAAAATTTAGTCAAGGCATATTTTACCAGACTAAAGGTTGTAGTATGTTTGTCAGGCGTGTCTCTGTACACTACGAGTGATTTTAGATCTGAAAGTCATATGGATGTGACACAATAGCCATTTATTTCTATGAAATATTCATTCAAATTCAATCAAGGCATATTTCACCAAACTAAAGGTTGTAGTATGTTTGTCAGGTGTGTCTCTGTACAGTACAAGTGATTTTAGATCTGTATGTTATGTGTACGTGACACAGTAGGAATTTAAATGTCATAAAAAATCAAAAAAGGGAATGTGTTATCAAACTAAAGGTTGTATTATTTTTGCAAGATGGGTACCTGTACACTTCAAGTCACTTTAAATGTGTATGTCTTATGGATGTCTCACAGTAGCAATTAATTACATATAAAAATAATCTCTGCAATTCAACTAAGGCAAATTTATCAATCTATGTATGTTTGTCAGATCTGTTCAGATGTATACTTGTTAGTCTCAGTTATTGATTTTCACACCATCTTTCTATTTCTATTTCAGTAGGTTTAAAGTCTTTGTAAATAACGCCAACAGGCTCCTCGTCTTTGATTGTTTTACGTTTTAAATCAGGACGTGCACTTTACCGACGGTCCCTTACCGTTTTCGGCGCTACAGCAGCGATTCCGGCTATTTTCATTAAAAGTACTCGGCGAAAAGGAAAGATCGGGTACTTTGACGAAATATTAAGATTGTAGTTTGTTGTCTGTTTTACCACGATTTAGAAAATGTTATTTCAGAATTTTTAAAAGGTTGTTTGTGAGCGATAGGAGGGCGAAACGCGAATATCCGCTGAATATCGAATATCAACCTAACTTTACCGACCTAGCAAAACGCCAGTGGCCAGTTCACTATCCTCTTGCCTAATCTGCT